ATGAATAATTTGAATTTAATGTTCTGAATTTGATTTATTGATTATTAGTAAGGTAATTGAAAACTCATAAGAAAATGGTATATGAAGCTTTCAATATCTGATTGTAGATACCATGATAGTAACTTTACCAAAATATTAAAATATAAGAAAACTCTTGTGGGAGTAAGTAGAATTCACCTCTGAATTAAGATTCATATATCTTTTTAAGAATATTCTTCTATTTGATAAGTCAATTGTAATTCATGAAAGTACATTTTAGGATATTATTTTATTCATTTAGAATTTAACTATTAAAGGAAACAAATAAAATCAATCTGCATTATATTGTAGCATTCTAAAAAAATATAAAATAAAAGGGTTACTTAAAATCTTCTCTTGAGGAATCTGAAGAAAAATGATCAATAAAATTTACTTTAATTATAGATTTTAATAAAATAATTAGAAATAAATATAAGTAATGATTTACTTATTTTAATAGTATTCTGCAAATGTCTTATCTTGATAATAGATAATCACACTAAATAATTTTTGCTTACTAACTATGTATCAATTAAATCATCAATTAGACTTATTAATTTTTGTAGAATAGATTTATTATAACTTATTTACTCATCGATACAGAAAAACTTACAATCTCTCTAGAACTCAAGATATAAAGGTACAGATTTATTATAATTTGGATATAAAATTCTATGAATTAATTATTCCAATAAATTAAATTCTAGAATAGAGATGAAAAAAATTTAAGAATATAGGTTTCTGAAAATGCTTGACATATATTATCAAAGTACTAGATCTATTAGCATTTGATTAAATATTTTTAAAGGATAGAGATTAGTATTAATAAATAATTTAGATTTGCTTCTATTTCCTGTATTATTTAGAATTAGTTTTTCTATTAATATTCAATCAAAATTTGAAATTCTAAAGACAAATTTATATTAAAACGATTAATTGGAAATTATTTCCTTACTGATTCTCTAACATTTTAAATGATTTGATTCTTCGATTCAAACAATCATTTCCTTTAACAGTTTTAGACTCCAAAATGATTAGATTATATGTTCGAGTATTTTAGGACTCTGAATTGACAATTGGGCAAATGGAACATTCAGATAGTATTCCATCAAATTTACCAAAAGAATTTTCACTACCTTAGAGAGAATTCCAAATATTCGGATGCATATCGATAGAAATTTCAATTTAATGTTTATTGGGAACAATTTTAGAGTATATAATGTTCCATTTTAAATCTGGTTTTGAGACTCCTTATTTGATGACTTGCTAAAAGGAATGTTTTTGAATAGTGCCTAAATCCAACACATTTAAACACCCGATTGTAATTAATCTCCTATTTGATCTGATAATTAATGATAAGTTGCCTCTTTATCCAATAGTTACAATAAATAATTTTATAATATATACTGAAGTTCTTTGAAGACAATAATAGTTTGGAGATAAAAAATAGCAAGTTAGTAATAATGCCTAACAAGATGTAGAACAAGGAAAATATAGAGGAATTTCGCACTACCACAAAAGTAACATTTAATTAATCTAAGTTAGAATCCATCATCACTGTTAGGGACAGAAGGACTAGACTGAAGCTAAGAGCCATAGTAGCACTTAATGGTTAAATTCAGTATCAACATGCATATAGCTTTAAAGGAGTATTGAAAGCGCAAAGTGTTTGTGCATTTTCATCATGGCACTCTTAGACATTCCGCTGAAGCATTAAAACATTAATTATCGGTGGTAATGCATTCCTGACAGGGGCTATAAACATCTCAAGTCCTACAATAAAACTAGTGTGAAGAATAATATAACAATTTGTACCTGTTGTTTAACTAGCCGTGCGATAAGGAAAAATCTAAAGCATTTGTTGTAACGCTTAATGCATTAAGTGCAACCAAATCAACATTGAATGGTTTAGAACAAATTACCCAGTAATACCAAAAAATATCAGCTAAGTATTATTCGCACAAGTCTAGCTTTTTAGATATATTTTTATACATTCGAAGCATTTAATTATCTACATCGAAAGAAACAGCCATAAAACATGATTTACATTCACTAGGATTAGCTTAACACTGTTGACAAGGATTGGTGAATTTGATGGCAGATTGTACTAAATGAAATGTGAATCATTAAACTACACATATTAGCAGGGTTTTCATAATCAGACAAGGAATTAAAATTAAGTGCAATCAGCAGGAGTTTTGCATATATCGTGAAATTACAAGAAAGAGGTAATACAAAGCTAGCTGATCCAAGTTGAATCCTAAAAGGGACATTTAAGACCAGAGGGTGACTTCATTTAAAAGAACGATGCAAAAGTGTCAAACTGCTAGAGACTGAGCTATTAATTCTTCATAAGCATTATTATTTAGAAAGTATAATAAGGGAATAGTGTGCACGTAACAGTATAATTCTATGAAAGATTAAGAATTTCTGAATTGTAATTTCATATACCTGTTTGAACAGATGTGGGAGAGATGCTTTGATTTTAGATCATATTAAACTGGATATCGAGGATTCATCATCCTTTTAGGATTTTTTAATACAGCTTAGCTCTACATGTTAATTCATACTGGAGGTAACTCTCTCAAATCACCTAGACAACTATCTGCTTTAGTTGTGTACGTTTTTGAGGATTACTAATTTGCCAACGTGCTTTTGTACTATGAAAATAGTAACTATCAAAGAACTTTTGCTTTTATCTGTTCTCTCATCAAATGCAACATAATTATTACAACGCTTTCTTGCAATCTAAAGGTATCTATCATTAAGAGGGTTAAAATTGCATAGATGAGCAAGTTTAAATTGGAGTTTAAATATACTGCATGTACTTCCATTTAGATGGAGTCAGAATTCCAGAGTATATTCATGTGAGACAAGGATTAGAGGAAAATTTATGATTAATACCATCTCTGTAATTGTGATTAATGCATTCGTCATATTTGATATCAAAATAATAGAATGTTATTAAGAAATGATCTACCACTGCCATTGGACTTAAGAAAGTCTCTGAGCAAGTTGTACAAGTGTTTTGATCATCTTATTTAATGCATGATTTGGGTAGATACTACATCTCGAAGAGACATTCTAGAAAGCGACAAGTCTGCCATTGTTTACTGAATTTCATATCTATTTCATAATGCTAAAACGATAAAAGAGAAGCAGCAAGCATAGAACAAAAATTGTAAGCAACGACAGATAAGAAATCTCCTAAAATAAATACTAAGTATATAATATGTAACAAAAGCTTGCGCAGCTAAGCACACTTTTTATTCAGATGATCAGAAAATGTAATGATATAAATTCAGTAGTAGTTGCATCAGCTTTACTCGTTCTACCCCTTACAGAAGTGTATGTGAGTAACTGTTTGATTAAATGTTATTCTGAATCATTACATTTTCTGAATTCGCTGAAAAAATTTTCAAGATAGGTATTAGAATTTTGAGAAGTGTAATTAAAAATTTTTCAAATATTAAGTTATGATGCAGTTAAGTAAGTATCAACATAATATCTGGCATACTTGTTGGATGTAAATTCTCTAAGCAATCCTTTCATAACTCATCTTGCTTAAAAAGAATCAATCTAGATGTCAATTTCTAATTAAAAAATTTAATAAAATAAAGGATTTGTTCAATATAATGATGCTAGCTAGTTCTACAACAAAGTCTCGCGAACTTCTTGTCTAAGCTGGATTGAAAACATCTAAAGGATAGCATAGCAAATTTGAGAACATTTTTGGAGATGGTGATACTAATGATGCTCCAACATCAAATTTATTTTGGGCACGTCAAATTATGAATATGGGTTGATAAGCAAGGAAAGCGAAGGAAAGAGAAACCTATGTACAAGAACCAATAAGCATTGAGCACAATATTATGATACGTCAATAATCAAACCTTTCTTTCATTGAGAAATTATGAGACCTAAATTCCCAATTAAAGAAAGGTTATCACAGTTTTATAGTTGAGATGCTAGATGGTTAAATCATGCTGACATATTTACACAAACATTATCATAAACGAATTGTCATAAGAATAACGATTGGAATACATAGAACCAGAGTAGGCGTCATCAAATTTGTAAATGGTTCAGCATACTTAATACAGATTGCCTTATTTTAGTACTCATAACAAAAAGTATTGCAATTACTAATTGATGTAAACTATGATTTATATTTAGTAGTATAGATAGAGCAATAACAAATATTTGAAGAATCAATCATATATAAGCGTGTGACAAAGTAGTTATACTAGCTGTCTTAAATTTAGGACTTATAAATATTAGAAACTATTTCCCTCTTTAAATTAAATCCTTAGTTCATATATCAGATGATATACGCTCAAAGTCTAAGAATTTGAATTCAGTACACCTTTATGTCATAATTAAGAGAAGAACAAATAGAGAAAATGAAATTATGCAATTACGACTGCATAGAAATGAGATAAGGAGAGTCACAATTATTAGAGGCTGTAATTATCCGCGAGAAAGAAACACTAATAACCTTGATACTAAATGAACAATTACTGATATAAAAAAAAATGATAATCTTTTGATTTTCTTCCAGGAATGCTCTTTAAAATAATCTTTAGGAAAATAGGAAGAATATTTAAGCGATTTAGTATCATAAGATAAATGAAAATATGGATGGCAAGTTGATGTAAAAATTCTTAAATTGTAAGCAGATTCCGGATTAAAACATAAGAATTCCATGTCGTTTAAAAACATAGTCTTTATTGGAAACTGAATTACGACCAGAGTATTTCATGCCTGTAACATAAAAAGTGTTTTGATGGCTTTAAAATGCAGCTAACAATGCCCAAATTTTAGTTAAATTTCTGTGTAAATATGTCTTATTATTAATGCTGTATTGACAACTGAGAAAGCTTGAGGTTCATCTTAAGATACTTCTTGTTTGATGTATATTGAATTTTTGTTAGACAATAGTGCTAGAAGTGTCAATCCATTTTATTCTTTTCCCATAGGTATATGTTAAGGTTTTTTTGAAGCATCTTTTTCAAATAATACTTATTGTCATCTTCAATCAAAGTGCTTTGGCTGCTAGTAATAGTTAAGTTTATGAGAATACTTACTAAAAAAATGGAGGCAGATTTGAGTCATGTCTCAAATAATAATATTTTTCGTCTTTGCAATAATGCCTAATCCATTCGCAAATGGATCAAAATTCCT